CTTTGGTCTTGAGGTCTGGCCCACAGCAAATAAGCATCTTATCTTGTCTTTCATGTTGGCTCCTTCCAGGGCCTGGCGGTGTCTGACTGCCTACAATATTTCCATCTAAGCTGGGCGTGGTGGCACACACTGTAATCCCAGCACTCGGGAGGCTGAGGTAGAAGGATCGTCTCAAGTTCGAGACCAGCCTGGGGTACAAAGGGAGCTCACAGTCAGCCTGAACTGCATAGGGAGACGTTGTCTCAAAAAGACAAAAAACAAACAAACAAATATTTCTTTCTAACTCAGCTGCCAGTAACACCAAGGTTCCCTTAGACGCTTCCTGGACTAGGAGCGCTGTAGTGGCTGTCGCTCACAGGCCAGCGCTTTTCCTCCACCCGGGGCCCCAGCCTCTGCCCGGGAAGCACTCTGGCTTGCTTCTGCCGTGGTTCGAGGGCCGTGGTCTCCCCAGTGTGATCCTTATTACCGAAAGTGAGCACGGCTTGAGCCCACCCGCCTTCCCTATTCAACTTTCATTTGCCCTCCACTTCATCACACTGTGAAAGGCTGAATAAGCTGCATCAACTTAGTTCGGTCTGTGGGCCTAGTGGACCTTTCTGGAGCTTTGTCCTAGTATCTGGAGCTGACTGAGTAATCAAACGCTCCTTGAGGGCATTCTGCCTTCTCTAGACTCAGAGCCTGATGTCATGTGTTTACGGGGTGGCTCTTCATGCTGGAGCTGGACAGTACTGGATTCTCATCTAAGCCTCACTAACAGACCCAGGCTCCTCGGCGTTCACAGGGGTGTCCCTTGCTGCACATCTGCTAAAACTGCGTGATGTGTGACTTCCCTCCGGCTGCTCCGCTCCCGTGTTATAATCCACTCAGGTCCCACTTGGGACCCAAATGATGCAGCGGTCGGCTGATGATCAGCAGGTGAAGCTGCGAAGGCTCCGTTGTTGGCCTGCTTTGCAGCTCTGGTAGTGCTTTTTCTTTCCGCGGCTGTACAAGGAGAGAACAGGACTGGGCAGCTCACCAGGTCAGCTGAAAAGCAAAATGTTCAGACTACCAGCAATACTTTCAGGATCCTGAGAGAATCCACCCGGGTTTCCCTGGCACTGCTGATATCCGTCACTGAAAAAGGAGCTTCACCCGATGGCACCATTGGTGCCCAGTGCTTCCTGAGGGGGGAGAGCAGTGCCTGGCTTAGACGTTGGCTTCCTGAACCCAGAGCCCTGCGGCAGGGAGGCCGGACCTGGTGTGGGTCAGGAGCCGGCCTTGCCCTCCTGGGTCCTGAGGAGCAGGCTGTGGGCGGGGCTGCTGGGAGAGCAGCAGCAGCAGCTCCCCAGGGAGGGTTAGTTCCTGAGCGAAGATCCGGTGTCTGGTAGAGTGCCTGAAGACTCACACGCAAGGCCCCTCTGAACATTGTCCCTGTCCCTCATTTAAACAGGGCGCAACCGCTCAGGCTGCCCGGGCGGCCACATCCCCTATTTTAAATAAATAAATAAATGCAACAAAACCCAAAACATTTCAATGGAGACAAGCACTAAGGATAGATAAATGGGATACATTTTGAAAAAAAATATTATTGGTCAAAAATATAACAGCAGCAGTACTAGAGCACAAGGTGTACCAGCCGCTGCGCAGGTCACTCCAAGCCCTGGGGGCCTACACCACAGGGAGCCCATGCACAGTAAGGGGCTGCCTGGGGTATCAGGAGTCTCAGGACCACATTTTTAGGCCACGATTCCACACAGACAGAAGAGCCCACAAGATGCCTTCATTTATCAGTGAAACTGGTGAAGACATTCTGAGATTTTTGGAAAAATGATTGTAGGAATAGCAGACGCGGTGCATCCCTGCACTGGAGGATCAGTCACTTCATCAGCAGCTCCCCGTGAGCTAAGCCGGTGCACCCTGAACGTGTTTGCAGGGACAGCCCGGCAATCTAACCCGGGATAAGTGCTGCTTTAGTTTTACTTCCAGCCCACCGGTCATATGGGAAATAGGTCATAAAAAGAGGAGGTTGCTGGATGCCTAGACACCAGCTTCCACCCGGAGGCCTAACGAAACGGAATTGAAAAGAAGCGCTAAAATTTTGCTTTGAAAATCCTGTTACTAGTCAACCACTGCCTGCTGCTTCTTTTTTTTTTGTCTTTTTTGATGCAGTTCAGGCTGGCCTTGAGTTGAATTTGTAGCCCAGGTTGGTCTCGAACTCAAAACCATCCTCCTCTCTCAGCCTCCCAAGTGCTGGGATTACAGGCTTGCGCCACCACGCCCGGCTGCCTGCTGCTTCTATAACTGCTTCCATAAATTTCTTTCTTTTTTTTTCTTGGTACTGGGAATCAAACTTAGGACCTTGCACTTGCCAGGTAGGAGCTGTGCCACTGAGCTATCTGCTTGGCTTCTATAACTGATTTTGAATTATCATCCTGGGAAAGTTTTTAATAAAATAGGTATCAGTAGCCACCGTGCTTGTAAGAGCACAGCCAGCTCATGGGTGTGGGAGGGAGAGGAGCAGCTGGGCTGGGTTAGGAGAATGCATGGCTGGGCCTCAGGGAGGAGGCCGCAGCTCTGGTCCTTGGGCTTGTTTCCTGAGCCATCCCACGGGGGGCAACCGGCTATGGAGAGTGCTGTAGTAAGGAAGCGTGGCTTTCCAAAATGTAGATGAAACCGGATGTGGTGGCTCCCACCTGTAACCCAGCACTCAGGAGGCTGAGGTAGGAGGGTCATCGTGAGTTGGAGGCCAGCCTGATTCACATAGTGAGTTCCAGATCAGGCTAAAACTCAGAAAAAAAAAAAATTATACCTTTCTGTTCACTCAGGCCTTTCATTTCTTTTTTTAAAGAGTAGAATATGTTTATTGAGGGAAAGAAAAGTTCTGTCCATAAGAGGGACAGAAGGGGCCCCGAGTGGGCTGCCCAGGATAGGCCTTTAATTTCTATGAACACTTTTCACGGGTTTCTCACTATGGAAGTGTAGAAGCTATGGCCTACTTTTAAAACTTTCACTTCTAACTATGTGTATTTACCTTTTTGGTGATAAGCAGCATCCTCCAGTTTCATTTTCCAGGTTTCATTGTGCCAAGGGAAAGAACACTTGCTCCTCACAGGACCCGTCTCCCCCAGGGGTCCCCAGCGAGGGCAGTGAGAGGAAAGAGGGACCCGGCGGCAGTCGGAGTGTGTGACCGACGCCAACTCCCTTTCCTCGGTTTAGCGCGGACCGGACCCCTGGAGCCCTTGAATGGAAAGATGCCAGAGAGCAGCTGAGCCGCCAGCCGCGGGCGAGGCCCCGAGGAGGGTCTGGGTCACCTTGGGGAGGAAGGTCCCCCGCTTCGGGCCGCCTCCTGCGGGGCCGGGGGCTGGGGCCAGGCTGGCTGGACAGGTCTGAGCCCAGGAGCT